TACCCGATTCAAAAACTAGAAACTTCAGGCTACAAAATGGCCGTACACAATATTTTTTATAACTATTTTTCGCGGAGATATAGTCATTTGAATATGACCTATATTTTCGGCAAATTTTAGTGGTCCCTTAATTTTGACGCCCAATGTATTTTACCAAGCATGGTATGTAATAATAATAAAAGTAAAATCAACTGTATTTAAATTTTAAATACAGTAAATAGAAATGAATTTTTATGAAGTTTGATTTCATTTTAATAACCCTTTGCTTGGTTAAATTTATATTATAATTAATCAGTATCGATAACCATTTTAAATACATCCGAATAGCGTTGTTTAAAGAGCTGCATTTGATCTGATTTAGATTCGATATATATGTTTCAATTACGTCTGTTTAAGAGGTCTTGAAGACGCCTTGATTTGCCACATTAGACGTTTAAAAGCCGTGAAAATGCCGTTCGTAAGCTATTCAAGACGTCTCATAGATATCTGGAACGTCTCGAACAAACGTCATTAAGCTGTCTTTAAGTCGGCTGTGTGCTATCTAGGCAGATGCTCTATTACATTTCAGGTAGCAAAAAACATTGAATGCAGATAATTTAAGGCGACAAAAACCGTAAATCATTACGAGAGTAGGTAATCACGATGAGGTTTAATGTGTTCTAACCATATATTATTGAAATACTCAATAACACATGTAACCCAGATAAGATGCCTTTAAGCCGTCTTCAAGGCGTCACTAGGCGTCATGTGCTATCTGGGAACATGAGATTGAAATATATACTTGAGAAACTTACCTAAAAAAAATATATTATATAGGTCATAAAAACATTAGACTTAACTCTATAACGCCTGAATTTTCATCTTATGAACCTGTTCATCCTTTTCCCAGATAGCTCATGACATCCAATGACGCCTTGAAGATGGCTTAAAGACGCCTTAGACCTAAAATAGCCGTAAAATCGGCGTCTTCAAGGCGTCATGTGCTATCTGGGTTTAAGTTCTTTCTTAATAATCATTCGTTTCAACTACCCGCCGTTAAAATGACCGCGGTAACCGGTCTAAAAATGATAATTTATAAAGGAAATACAAATAAAAAATGTAAACTCCATAAATATTCTATTTTCTGTTTTATATGTATGTGTACGTTATAATCAAACGTTACGAAAACGTCGCACTTGGTGTTTTAGGGTTAAACCTGCATATACATATACATATACATATAAGTACACGAGGGCACATTAAACCTTAAACGGATTTAATGCTATCATACCTACACATGCTTTTTCTGACAAACTTCGAGGAGGCTGTCTGAAATACTGCCCTTTTTAAGGAGCACGTGATCTCCAATTTCGCCTCACGAACAGTTACCAATACGATCGTAGAACCCAAGCATGTAGTTTCTTCTTCTTCTTCACGATCGAACGTGATGCGATTCCGATATCGCGGAATCAGTTGTCGCGAACTGTAATCACAAAATGCCCGACGGTCTGTATTTAGGAATGTGATCCTCTCCGCAGTGAATCAATGGAGACGCGCTGACAAAATAAATATCTCTACAGTCCTGAAGGATTCAAACCATGAAAATGATCTACGTGAATTCATTTCATAATTTAATATTAAGAAAACAAATTCCACCGCTTTGATTGTTTTAACGTCTTTATTGTCTACTAAAAGTAAAGAATAATTTTATTAAAAAGATAACAGTAAAAAATAATTTGTACGAAATCCTTATACATATAGTATATGTATATGTATAAAAGAAAGTCTGTCTGTCCCTTTGTTCGCTTATAACTCAAGAACTACTGGATCAATTTCGATGCGATTTATTTCATCGTGTAGTACAATTCTCAGGAATTGTTTTAGCCTATCTAAATTTAGGGTAGGGTCAGAATACCGAGCGTATTCGACGATTCCGACAGGATTCCCTTGGAACAATCGAGCGACAATGTAAACGCGTGCGCTTCCCGTCCTTGAGTCGACGGTGAGCTGAGGCAGACAAAAAAGTTTAAAAGGCCGCGTATCGATGTGAAAATCCAAATGGTACTAATCCAATGGTAATGAAAACTTTATTAACACATTAGTGAGATTCTTCTGGTTACAATGATTCCAAACATGATATAAATTTGATCATTTGTAATTAACAAATAATGAAAGAAACACTTGATTAAGTAAATATGATCCAAATTAGTTCATGTTTGGTATCATTTTAATCAGAAAAATCTCACCACTATGCCAATAAAAGTTTTATGAACAAAGAATCACAAATAAAACAGATTCATTATTGCGTTAGTCTGTTCTCACGGATTCGTGGCTTCTTAAATCTTTTTGGCTGCTTTGACTCTCACTACCTTTTTGTATTTCATCAGCTGTCCTTTTCTTCAACTCGGACTCACAAGGGAAGGTTCTGAACCCGAAAATTCCGATTTTAATAAAACTTCGTATGAATGTTTTTGCGTTTTTTTTTTAATATAACTTTGTAACGTTACGAGATAGAACAAACTTTAAATGCAGAAATTATTCAGTTCTTTTGGACTTATACTACACCAAAAGAAAACTTTTCCACAATGCGTCATGTATAAACAAAATTATTTTTTTGTTAGTTTTTGCATATAAGTTCTTAAATTCCACTCTTCTTCGGTGGACATGAGCTCTGAACATTTGTCGAATATTCACTGCACTGCCATGTTTCATAGCACGGGCACAATTTCTATGAACTTCTGGGTATAAGTAACGTAATATCCAGAACTAGAATAGAAGCCTGTTGATTATGAATTGAATGATATTTGAAGCCACGAAGCTGGCTTCGCGTTATAACTGAAGATGCCTCCGACTTCAAGGATCGATTTGTGGATCGGTCAGTCGTTTCGTTGACAACCGCGCATATTTATAAAGAAATTCTCCGACATAACATGAAAGAGAACGGATGTACTACATGTAACTTGTATATAATTGTATATAATTAACGTTGTACAGTTGTAAATAAACATCATATTGTGTTACGTTCAGTAATAAAATACATTTATGTCGTGTGGCGAAATGTCACGGCGTAACAATATTATATAGTGTAGAATTTTTTGTACTTTAGAAAGTATTGGTTATTATTGGCAGTAAATGGTGATCAGGGATAAATGAGGGATAAATGATGCATGAATGAACTTTCTATAAAATTATTTAAATTCTTTTCTTTAAATTGGCTGATATTACGAAACGGGAAAACCAAGTATGCCTTGCGAATCAGCCGTAATTAGTCATTCAATGAAAACATTCTGCAATAATTGAACTACTCTACTTCGTGTACGTATAAACAATTTATCTACTGATGGGCATCGGTACATGGCTTTGCCATGCCGAGGTCCACCATTTCGAATTAAAATGTAATTCACAAACTAAGCATCCCACGCAAGAGCAGGTACGTCAGCTAGTGGTATATAAACTAATAAAAGTGGTCTAAGGTATACCATTTTTACGAAACATCACATTTTCTTCACACAGACCAGGTGTCCTAATACATGAATGGCAGTGTATGTATACATGTATATGTACACTCTAATGTATTATCTTCTTTCTATTCAAAGAATATACATGTACATGTGTTTGTCTTATATACATATAAATTCTTGTAAATGTACACTGTCTTTAAATTACTATTGTCGTGTTTTAATGACCATCTGGGAAACATTACGAGGCAGGTGTGTGTGCGTATAGTATCCATAGATATTTTTAATATGTCACGTCCATCTACGATCATGATTAAAGACGTAAAACGGTGTTAAAATCACGCGATAACAACTATCTATACATAATACGGAACGTGTTTGTCAAAGTTTCTGAACTTTCCATAATAATCGATGCTTGACGAATGAGCAAAAAAGAAAAGAAAAGAACGAGCACATAGAAAAAAATGTCGAACGAACAGAAGCAAATATCGTAGTCATGTTTGATTAACAAAGTAGCGCAGAGTGCACTTTCGAAAGGTATACACATACGGTACCTAGAATGAACTCGAGATTCTTATCGGCGATATCAATGGCCAGAGGGGATAAACGAAAAACTGTCATAAGTGGTCAGACGGTGATTATCAGAGGAACTGTGAACGGTACCCACGTTTTCAAAATACAGTCTTTTATAACACGGTAGAAAACGTCGTCGTGATGTGTTTCCGTGGCCAAAAATGCGGCTAAAGAATGTGTTTCTCTTCAGTGGAATCAGATACGACATGGGAGCATACTGAGTCTGCCGCCGAGGATTCAGAAAAAAATATTCTTGATGGAATTATGATTGACATGGTAATAGAATATCGATCGAGCTTTAGGAAATTTTCTATGAAACAAAAACATTCGATCCTTTCTTTTCGTGTTTGTGACACATTCACTACTGTCATTCAAAAGTTTCGAAGCAGCTACCCAGATAGCAAATGACGCCTTGCAGACGCCCATTTCACGACTATTTTGGATCTAAAGCGCCTTTAAGCCGTCTTCAAGGCGTCATTGGGCGTCATGTGTTATCTGGGAATGTGCGCATTCTAATCGATCGAAAAGGATAAAACTTAATTATCTAGAATGAGTATAATTAATATAACAGATAAAAAATATTATTAGAGTTTTAATCGACGAAAATTATTAGTTAAATTCCTCGTGATAATTCGGTTCTACATTTACGCTGTATCTAGCTGTGGTTGTTTGTTTGAGCGATACTCCATATATTAGAGGCCATCAAACAAATCGCTCGATATCACAATTGAAACGAGAACAGACCTTGTGATTTCCTCCGATAAAACACTAAATTCTTTACCTTTCTTGAGAATATACTTGGCGGGTTAATTGCGTGTGTGATCGGTTACGAAACTTGGAGAAGGCCACTTATTCAATTGTTGCTTTAAAGACGCCTATTTTACGGCCATTTTAGGTCTAAAGCGTCCTTAAGCCATCTTCAATGCGTCATGTGCTATCTGGGTTCAAGATATTAAAATTTTCCTTTTAATTTCTAGTCTTCCGAGGAACATGATATTGAGAAAACGATTCCAATTTTTGATGTGCGCGCTACGAATTTTCTGTGTATCAGCCGGAAATAATTCCACGGAAATAAAGGAATACGAAACGACAGACGATCCTATAGGGCTGCTGTCGTTGGATTATGTCGAGTATACGACGATTTTTGAGAACGGCGACGGTAATTTACAATTATCCACGGGGATCGAAGAGCTTTCGAATAAAATAACGAAGCCTGATCGAATCGAGCTCCTGTCGAATGATCACCTGTATAACAATGGCGCTAACGTATCAACTCTCAATACGCTGAACGTCGGTTTTATTGACAAATTTAAACGTCCTTTTAGTTCGATAGGCGAATTAATTGAAAATGAGATCGTTTCAGTGGATCATACGGAAGATACGTGTAATACGACAGGTATGATTTTCGAAGGTTTTTATTCCATAAAATATAATTAGACAGTCTCATGGACTCAATATTACAATAGAAACACACTTATCACGTATGTAATTTAAGAATAATAATACTAATCACCTTTTATCTAAAAAATAATAATGATTACTCCTCTAATTATTCTTATTAGACAATTACTATTATTTATTGCACTATGATTTCTAGAATCAAGTATACCACGTCTGGTAACTATAGAAGCTAGTGCATTTTCTTTATCTATTTACTGGCAATCTCCAGAAATAGGTTCGAAGTGTATTAAGCACTATCGTGTTAGTGTTAACCCACAATCAACACTAAAAATATTAAATGAAACTAATGTAACAATAAATGGCCTATATGCCTGCACTATTTACAACATTTCTATTAATGCAGTATATAAAGACAATAATAATGGATCAGAAATTACCACACAAACAAAAACACTACCAACTGGTAAAGAAAATCTTGAAAACATTATAATTACCATATACGTTATTTCTAAACATTATCTATTTCAATTGTAGTATCAACTCCACCAATATTATACATTAAACAGCCTTTTGTTTACAAAAACAATATATTATTTTCATGGAAAATTGAGAACAGCAATAACAATTGCATTTTAACATATTTGAAGACTACATGCAATTACATAACAACTAATGGTCATGGCTATGACATCGTCAATAAAACGGCAATAACGTATATTAATTCTAACATTCAAAATGAATTTCTTATATATACAGGGTGTCTTCAAAATCATGGTACAACCGGCCGTGTGGTGATTCTACATTCTTGTAAGAAATAAGTCGAAAGGAAATAACTTGTTTTTGTTTGGAGTTCCGTTTTTAAGAAAATAGAATTTGAAAATTAATCTGAAATGCATATATTCGTCATGGTAGTAAGTAGAAACGGAATGCAATGAACAGACGCGCTAGCTAATTGTAAGTTTTATTTACGCGTACCTATCCAGCAAATTTTTAAATTCGATTATCTCTAAAACCAAGCCTTAAATGAAAAAATGCTATCCTCTGTCTTTTCAACTTATTTTTGCATGTAGAATCACCACATGGCTGGTTGTAAATACTTATTGACTATTTGAATCAACATAATAAATAACGTGGTCAACAATAAATAATAATCAATGTTCTTATATTATATATATTTTTACATACTATATTTGATATTTTAGTACCATCTACACCTGCACTTGATGTTACAAGCATAACACATTCACAGTTTACACTTGTATGGAAAACACCAACATATTTAGCAGGAAACCTGCATGAGTTTGAAATTACATTAAAGTGGCAAGAACGTTTTTCAGTGCCAGATTGGTGTGATAAACCATCAAAAAAAATAACAACAATATCTTCCAATCCATCTACATTTGCTCTTCAATATGTAAATGCAAGTGCCTACACAACTTATCAAGCAAAAATTAGAGCCAAGACAGGAGCAGGTTGGGGAATCTCTAGCGAATTTTTAATGTTTGAAACGCCACCTAAAGGTAAATCTTAATTAAATTATGCAACGTATGTTCAAATTATATCAAATTTCGTTGTGTCACTGGTATTTGCAGTTCCAGACAGGGTGACAAACCTTTCCCTTGTGCTTATGAACAGCGAAAGTTATACAAATTCCTTTGATACTATTTTAACATGGAGCCATCCATGTTCGTTGAATGGAAAAATAGAATATTTTAATGTATATGCACATGGGACTAGAACTAATTATCCGCCTCACCAGTTTTCAACTAAGAAATATATTCCAAGCGATATTAGAAAAAATGATATGTTTGTCATGAATTTAAAAGAGCTACAAGCAGAGTATAATTATACTGTAGAAGTATCTGCTAAAGTTGAAGAAGTTCAAGACCTAGGAATTCCAACAAGAAGTAACATAATATACCCAGCTGGCAGTAAGTGTCTATTTACAAGAGATTTTGGTAACTCTAAAATTCTAATTTTTCAAACACTTTGCAGGTATGTACAGGACCCCAATAGATGTATCAGGTATCTTTTTTTGCTACTTTGGGCTTCAGTGTGTGTTTTCACCCTTGAGAATGAAAAAAGTAGCAAAAAAGATTGGCTGATACTTCTATCGAGGTCCCCTACAAACTTGCAAAGTTTCAGAAACAAATTAAATTTTCAGGTTACCGAAGTTACCGTGTTAGAAATTTGGTAAAAGCGTGGTAATATATTTCTCGTACCTTATATATTTTTACAGTCCCACCTCAACCAGAAGGAGACTACATAAAGTCTATAACTGTAGATCCATCTAAAGCACGAAGATCTACAATGTCAGCTACTCTTTTACTTCCATTATTTCCGGATACAAATGGCGATATTATTTTCTACTCTATTATAGTGTCAAGAATGGAATATAATACTGCATCAAATGCAAGATTTAATTTGACAAATCATGCATGGCCAAACGTATCTTCTTGGGAAGAAGCTATGCTACAAGATTTTACAATACCCTATCAAGCTACTAGATTATGTTGGAATCCTTATCGTAAGTGATAAATTTTTCGAATAAGCATACGAACTTAATAAGTATTAATATAAATTGTTGTGTACTTTTATTCCTTTATAGCTAATTATGTTGCTGATTATGGTGACGTGAAAGCAGTGAAATATACACTCGGTGAAGATACAAATTGTGAAGAAATTTCTTCCAACACCAATAAACGAGTTTACTGCAATGGACCTCTTAAACCAAATTCATGGTTTCACGTTAGAATGAGGGCATTTACTCGTGGTGGTTACGCTGACTCTACGATATTTTTAATAAAAACTAGTTAGTACTATATACTTTCTTATTTTAAATTTGTAGTACCAATTAAATGTTCTATTTATCACTAGATGCTGAAATAAATATTGGACTTGTTAGTGGAGTTGTGTTTGGTATCTTATTTTTGGGAATTCTAACAACGATGATGTTATTAGTACGCAAATGTTCACCTCAAGTGTGAGTATAACTTTACCTTTGCTTATGCTTAAATCTCTTTTATTGACATAAAAGTTAAATACTATAGTATATAATATTTTTAACTATTAGAAATTTGGAAACTAATATATTTCTTAGGTACGTTGCTTTTTGAAATTAACTGTGTACTTATGCACATTGTACATGTGTATATGCAAAGTGTTTTCCTTTACTTTAAAAAACGTATTTTTTTAATGATGTATGTCTCGAATTGTATGTAAAGAAATCACACGTACATTTATGGAAAATAATCAATATTTCTCTTGTGACTAAGAAGAACACTATAGTTAGAAACAATAAGGTCACTAAGTGCAGATGTCTCTACTATACATGTTACAATACACATTGCATTATGTTCAATAGCCATTAGACTGTTACTTAGCTCATTAGTATAACTTTCTTCATTACTTCGTTGAATGTGTGTGATACAGTTAAATGCTCAAAACCAAACATTTCACCATAACCGATATTATTGTAAAACAATTGCCAGAAAAATATGATCTTAAGACTCCGGAAGGATGGATCACTATTTCCATTATTTTCAAAGTTTGTATACTAAGAATTATTGATTGGTTTGTAATAATTAAACGTGTATTCAATAGTCATTGGTATTGAATTAATTTATACTTCTTCCAAAAACATACTAATGCATACTATTAGCGATGTTTTCATAATACTATAGGATTTCTTACACACTAGTAGATTCAAAATTGAAATACATACATGAAGTTGTGAAATTAGTTTAATGTTGACAATTCATTTTTGTCTAGGATACTACGAAGATTTCTACATTCTGATATGTCTGGTTCACCAGTCCCTGTACCTTTTTCAAAGAAGAAATTTATAGCTCATTGTCAACAACTTATTGATAATCCTGGAAAGTTGAGCAATGAATTTCAGTTACTTCAAACTCTTAGTGTAGATTTACAGATGCCAACAAACAATGCCTGTTTACAAGCTAATAAGAAGAAAAACAGATATTCCAATATCCTTCCATGTATAAATATATGTTTAAGTAACTGTATTACTAAAATGTTCAATTTGTTACTAAATAATTTTTGTATTTCTAGATGACTTTTCGAGAGTCAAATTGGAAGTGATCGATAATGATCCTAATACTGACTACATTAACGCATCCTTTATAAGAGTGAGTAATTAAATTATTGAGATAGCAAAATTAATATATTCAACTTATACTCCATATATAATATTTTCAGGGCTATACAGGAGAAGACGAATATATAGCTTGTCAAGGTCCAAAAGAAGAAACAACATTTGATTTCTGGAGAATGATAGAACAATATAACATCAACATTATAATAATGTTAACTCAGTTAGTTGAAAAGGGCAAAGTAAGATTTTATTAGTAATTTAAATAAAAATTTATGAACACAGAAATAACAGAAGCATATTTCTTTATAGGAAAAATGTTACCAATATTTTCCAACAATTCGAGAAAGTTTTAGATACGAAAATATGACCATAAAGTGTACAAGTGAATTAGATTACAGATCATATACACAAAGAACATTAGTGCTGCAAAAGGTAACAAATTTTATAGGCGTTATAAAGTATGTTAGTCTGTAATTTCAATGGGCTTAACTACTAATAATATATTACAGGAAAACAAGAAGAGATATATAATACATTTACATTTTAAAGATTGGCCAGATCATGATGTCCCAGAAGATTTTGATCCTATGATTCATTTTTGTCAAATTATACGTCGTAATGTTCTAGCTAATAAAGGATATGTCATCATTCATTGCAGGTAAAAGTGTAGACTATTTTACACATTACCGAAGTTACATGAATTTTATAAAATACTGTTTATAGTGCAGGAATTGGTAGAACTGGTACCTTAATAGCAATAGATATACTTTTGCAACATCTGCGAGATAATAGAAGGTTAGATGTATTTGGGACAGTGTACAGATTACGACATCATAGAATAAACATGGTACAAAAAGAAGTAAGAAATTCAAAGCAGTCTATACTTCCATTAATGTTAATTATGTCTTACTAAATCTATTGTAAATTTTCAGAGTCAATATGCTTATATATATAATTGTATCAAACAAGTACTAAGGAATCCATATTGCTTTAAATCATGTAAGTTCAATATATGAAATGTAATAGATTTTTCTAAATATTGGTCATATTACAAATATAATTTTTCTCTTACAGATAAGCCTCCACCTATGCATCCACTAAGTGAAAACACCTCTAAGAAATAAAAAATAATTTCAAATTTAAAATCAAATCTAGTCAATAATTTTGAGATATGTAATAATTTATTGTAAATGATTTTCAAATATTTATTTCTATTTGTACAATACTATTACTGATATGTAGAAAAAGAGTCAAAAGTAATAGTGAATTATTTTATATCACAGAATATGTGCAATTTATATTATATCACAAATTAATCCCTTGAATTTTAAACATATGAGGCATAAGTATCTAATTAATTATTAGTTACTGAAAGAAAGTAGTAGTATGTTATAATTCAATTTTCTGAATCAAGTGTAACTAAAAATTATTTTAAATATATAGAATATATCGAAAGCGCTAGGATTACAAATCAAGTGTTAATTATACAATTAGCAGTATTTTAAATATAAAATAATTTACTTCCTCAATACAAAATTTATATTCAAAACAGGTAATAATGTAAAAACTGAGTTTGCACATTTATTATTATGTATATTATAAAATAAATTACATAAATATATTTCCTACATAACTATATTTATTTATACTTAGAACGTTCTTTTCATTTGTCAATAGAATATCAATCGCCACATTTGCTCATCAGTACAGTGACACATAATATAAAACAATACTTCTCTCAAGGTCTATCATTTCAATAAATTAATAACGATATTTTGTAGAATAATCTTTGGGTGAGACAACTAAACCTCTTCCTTTTCTAGCACCCCTATAAACTGTTTCAATAATGTCAATCATTTCTTGTTTATCTTCTAGTGTCCAATTTATTTTATTATTATTTCCTGTTCCTAAATCAATCATTATATGCTTGTTTCTAAAGAAAAACATGACTGTACATGGATCATATAATTCATACCTGTAAAAGATAATATTTATATTCAATATAAATCAATTACCACAGTCTATAATTTGTTTTTGTAACATGAAATAAGAATAAAATTTCAATTATTTATTAGCACAATGATGTTATCATATCTAAGTTATTGAAGATTATAAAAGTGACAGTAATGATACATTACAGTAAGAAAAGAACAGTATACGTTAATTCTTATTTAAAATTACTTCATATTCTGATAATATTCTCAAACTTACATTTTATTAAAATCAGGTACTTGTGTAATATCAACTAAATAAATGACGGCAAAGTTTTTAACCTTTTCAGCAATGTTATAAAGAACTTCATCCATCTTCATACACATTGGATCCCAATCATGTCCGAATCTAATAACCTAAACAAATTTATGCAATCATTTTTGTAATTTACTAAACACAAATTGATTATAACAATCCAAGCAATTATTCTGAAATGTTCAACATATAAAGTCAATATATTAGAATACAATAAAAAAACTCACAACTACTCTATCTTCTTCAGATAATATTGCTTGGTCCACTTGCCATCCGTTGTGAAGATGCGATAGCATATAAGACATTGTGTTATTAAAAATATAAATTTGTCAATAATTTTAGAATCACACTTGCAACACTTTTCCTGGTGTATCATAAATTGATCAAAATATATTAATGTACACAATAAACAAAATTTACGGATGATTCGTTTTACACATAATATTTGCTTCTTATACAATACGAACAACTTTTTAAATCTGATTCTCTTATTTATCTATTACTGTCTACTACACAATGAAACCTTACAGACCATAATATTTTCAATCCACTTCTTCAGAAAAGCACTAACCAACACTGACTAACACCACGGATTACTATGGATCTGCCACTCTTAAGAAAAAGGGTGATCAAATGGTCTAGTGTGACTAGTGTCTAGTAGCTGCAGGAGCTGTACATATCTATGGTGTTGCGGTCCCCGCTCATGTCACGTAGCGGTGTATGTCATAAGCTTTACAGGCGCGAAGTTTGAATCGAATAACACATGTAATAGGAAAGGAGGGTAAAGGTGAAGTTGACACTGATTTGAAGAAGTGTGAAATCTGTTAGAGATCCTTTTAATAAATGGATTTCAAGTTTATAAAATAATCAATATTCACTTAGAAACGAATGTTTAAACATTTGCCAGTTGCCTTCGCCTCCTATCCTAACGCTCAGAATCATTGCAAATATGTAAATCGCTCGTTATCAATAACCGGGAAGAAACGCATCAACGAATCAGGTTAAATCTTAGAAATTAATAATTATAAGATTGGCCAGTAGTAACTAAGGACATTTTGTAATTAAACAAAATGATATACGAAGGGAAATGAAAAGACATTCCATTCCACCGACAACGTTGTAATAGAAAGGACGTATAAAAATTACTTTATCAATTAAATTTGTTTTCCTTTAAAATTAGTTAAAAATCGTTTATTTAAATAGTTTAAATATAGTTTTCAAAGTTTTAATTTAAATCTTTATTGTTCTTTATTATTATCGTTATAATTTCCTTTTTATTCAAAATTATCTATAAAACTAACGTGTTTCAAACTTTAATTACTTTGAGACTCAGGATTCCCTGAGGGCCCACGCAACAATGGTTACAACACGGGTTTAGTACTAGAGTCGGCTGTGGAGTGGCAGATCATGGTAGGTCCATAGTAATTCGTGGACAAGACCCCGGATCTCTACAAAACTCATTGGTTCGGGGTAGTCATTTCTGGAAACGCTGCTGGAGGGAACCGGATTCCCGGAACCACGGAACCCCCGTGGAACCAGTAGTAAAGTCAATCGTATAATTTCTTACACGATGACTGCACGTTCAGAGGATTGGGAGCCCCAAAGAAAATTAAATGTTCCCATATGGTTGAGACAACACTAATGCAACCAAGTAACTGTATCTTTAGTTCTTTGTTAATGAAACTTTTACTGACGTCTTTTTGAGATTTTTCTTATGAAAACGATACCAAAAACGATATAATTTGAATCCTATTTACTTATGTAGAAAATGTTAATACATATTCTTTAGTTATCGATTCTTACAAATTACAAACACAGGTTGTTGGACACATTTAAAATAATAATAGTATAATACTGGTATACAATAGGGTAGTATAAAGGAGTACAATATATAAATGTACAATATTTACAATAATAAGACATACAATTATAATACATTTATAACTTATATAAAAATGACATATTTTAACGAAAAATTTAGCATAAAATCTTCAGTTTTCAATTCTTCGTGGGTTGGTCCTTTAATTGTAGAAACACACTGAATAACAAATAACATACATAAATTATTTTGTCAGTAATTAGTATTCTAATACATTATACGTTTACCAATGTATAAGTACTTATCTTGAGTAAGGTGATGATGAATTTTAAATATACTTGTAACTTCTATGTGTCCTGAATTTCTTTGCATAATATTTTCCAAAGTGGTGTCCAGATTGATTTTTTCTACCTTCCTTCATCCTTACTTTTTACTCGTTCTTTAACGTAAAAAGTAGTGTTTTAAACTGTTTACAAATGTCCGAATATGAGGCGGTGCTGTTGCACTATGATGTGATAATCTTCCAACTAAATATGTTAATTCATTTGTATTATTTTTATCCTGGTCTCCTCGATCAACTGCTTGTTTTTCGTCATCTGCATCTTCACTGTCCCGATTATCTTCTTTTTCTACTTTAACCATTTCCTTTTGGATAATGCTTCTCCTTTTTGTTTCTTCATATGTCGATAAGAATTCCATGAACTCGTCTTGAGTAGTTTCGTTTCCAGTAATGGAAGTGATAGCATCTTGTAGTATATCATGTTGAAGCTGATGTGTTTCTTCATTTCCTTTATAATCTGACATGGGTCTCGTAATAATTTTGTTCCATGCATTCCTTATATTCTCTACAGTTATTTCTGCCCATGATTCTGCCAACATTTCTATGGCATCTTTAATATTATACTGCTTAAAAAATTCAGTGACCCCGCTGTCATACCTTAAAACACTTTGTAGCATTTTTTGACGAAAAACTTTTTTCGTTTTTTCTATTATCCCCTGATTCATAGGCTGTATTAATAATGTTGTATCAAATGGTAAATATACAATTTTGAAATGATCATTTTCCTGCACATCTGTTGGAACTTCGTGTTCCTTGTATTTTTTTAATAATAAAATAACTTTACCAGATATTTGTTTTTGTAGCTGGTACGCCCGTACATTTGGCTTAAAGTAATTTTCGAACCAATCTACAAATAATGACTGATCCATGCAGCCATTTGTCTGTGATCTAAAAATGACTGGAAGCCTGTTTTGGCAATATTTTAAACACCTTGGTTTTTGATATTTGTGAATTACTAAGGGCATGATTTTATTTGTGCCCGATGCATTTGCACATAATGTCAATGTAATACGATCTTTGTGCATTTTATGGTCACTGTTGGTCTTTTCTTTGAAGTCTGCAAGCGTCTTTGTGGGAAGATCTTTCCAGAATAGCCTGGTTTTTTCCATGTTGTAGATGTTTTCTACATCTATCTCTTCTTCTTCTATTAATTTTTCAAAATTCTGTATGAATATCCTCGCCGCATTCTCATTAAGACTTTGTTCATTTACATGGCCTAAGCGTATGTTATTGCGTCTTTTAAAATTTGAAAGCCAACCAATGCTCGCTTTGAAACGTGAACACGATTGGATATTCTCTTTTATTTCTGCAGCTTTCTCTAACAGTATAGCATCTGATAAGACATCCCCAAGAGCCCTTCTTTCTCTAAACCATGTCAGCATACGCTGTTCCAGTTCTACATACATTGGTTTTTTAAGATTTCGCCGTTTCTTCTGTTCCTTACTCTTGTTTGTAAATTCACTAATCAATGCAGCGTTACTGCTTATCCGAACAATAGTTCTCGGGTGTACACAATACTTTGCAGCAATCGTTGAAACATCTTGAGTCTTCAAATCTTCCAGAATCTCCAGCCGTTGTTGTATAGATAAAACAACTTTCTTCTTCTTTGCCATGTCAGTCACTTTAAACTAAACTACCACTAGTAACCATTTATGTAATTGTTATATTACATTAAATTTAAATATAAAATTATATTATGAGTAAAAATTAAATCACTGTTTCATTAAATACATTTATAGTTAAACTAAAATAACTTTAAATGTAGAGTTCTGTGTACGGAACAAGGAATAAACTGAATGTTTTCTGTTTACCCTAATTCACCCTCTCAGAGCTGTGAGCAAGGCTGTGACAGTATGACAGTGTGACAGTGTAACTGAGTGTGACACTGTAAAGCCCGCAGGAGCAGCACACGGTGCTTGTTTGCTTGCTGGATCGCTTGCTTGGAGCTGTGCACGCCGTCCTGCAGGGAGCGGTGCTGGCAAATGACGTCAGTGCAGGCTGCCAGCCCGCCGCAGCACACGGTGCTTGTTTCCTTGCTGGATCGCTTGCTTGGAGCTGTGCGTACTGTCATACAGGGAGCGATGCTGACAAATGACGTCACTGCAAGCTACCCTGCAAGTTTCGCTGCTGAATTTCGAGATTGCTCCCGTGCTATGTTTCCTGCAAGTTTTCTAGCTGGCTCGCATAAATAACCAATCGCAACACAGCGGGCTGTCACGTGATGTGGTCTCGTGGTCTTTCATACTGTTTCATACTCATGCGCTGCATTACAAGATCATGTAGTCTTTTTTGTTGCTAGGTTAAGTTAACCTTATCGAGATGGAATTAATCCATTTTCCGTGTTGAAAAAATAAATTCGTGGGACATATATGTCCTCTTAATGTGATATACACCTGAGAACAAGGTTTGTAACATTTTTATCAAACTTATAGATTGTAATGACGAACTTTAACTCCACAAGTAACAAGATTGTGGAGTCGGTCTTGGCTGTTGCGAAAAGACAATGGTTTAATTGTCTTATTTATATTAAAAGGTATTAACTCAATAAGTATCTTTTAAAATCATTGTTTTATCTAATTATATGAAAGAAATAGAAAAAATCTAAAAAAATATATTACAAATATTTCGACCTTTCTTGGTCCATTCTTCTGCCATTGATACAAGTATCAATACATGTACTAATAATATAGAGTCTGATGTCTTCATTTTCGTAGCTTCTGAGTATTGACCCTACCAGAGTCAAAAATCCATCGACAGTGTTCATCGATCTTGAAGTTTGGATCGAAGGATCATTCCTGACTATTATGGGCTCTCTTAACGATGCTGCCAATGTATTGACAGCCTCTGCATATAAATTGTCTTGCGTTTTCTGCCTTTTTCGTTTCTGTAAAGGAGAAGCTGGGGAACGAGCAGTCGATTCAACATAGTTTGTGCTTGAACCCGGTGCCGCAGAACTGCAAGGCAGGGCTGATGCAATGGGACTATATTCCAATTGTTCCATTGGTATTTCTACAGTTAAAGGTTGACATAAGAATCCAGGATCCTGGGTCCAGGGGGTCCAGGGGGTTGACACTTCTGAGTTAATGAATCAAACAGTGTTTTTGGCACCGCCAGTTAATCTGCGGAAATGGGACAACCAAAATTCAATATGGCGTACTGTGGTGGGTGTATAAAATAGAAATGAGTGCAACAGTTATGATTTATTAGAAAAGATTAACATTATGTTTCACTATAATATTGATAAAATGTAAAGAATAATGTAATAATAGAGAAATTATTTATTTACGTAATAATTGTGATAAAATGAAGTAATAAGTATTTCGAAATATAATTTACATATATGTATGTACATGATGCTACTGGATTTACTCCACATTAATTGATTTTTGGAACAAAAGCTATTATTCCTAGTGAATTTACTAAAAAACAGATACCACAAACTTTCGTAAAATATGTAGATGATTTATTTACCAAAATTATTACGACTCAATCTGCTGTTGTAAGGACTTTAGAAAAAGCAAAAGAAAAAAGTAAATCATACTATGATGAAAATATTAAACCACGGAAATTTAAAGTAAATGATGATGTTTATCTCTTAAAGGAACCAAAACTTTCTAAATTGGATTGTGAATGGCTTGGACCATATAAAATTATTAGAATATTTGATAATTTAAATGCGGAAATAGCTATAGAAGTAAATAAAATTAAAATGGTTCATATTAACAAACTTAAGTTAGCTTGTACACGATTAGACTCTTCTTAATTAGTTTTAATTATTATATGTGTAAATATTAAACATTTTACAAATACTCTTTATGTTTTGAGAACGCGTTTGGATAATTGTAATGTCCAGAGATGAATGGCGGAAAAAAGAAACAAGGAGTCATCTCCTTGCCCAATTATAAAAACAAATACAATTTGTTTATTATCAAAATGTCTTAGATACCGACATCCAATCAGGAAATTACTAATTAATTATAACGACTTCCTATTTGCCAATGCATTTCCTTTCTTCTATCAATTGTCCAGTTCGCGAGCGTTTTAACATCTCCGCATTGTTTTGCATATTAGGAGAGGGAGATAAAGAGCGATTGTTCAAACATAAATAATTTGAAATCTATCCTTTTGGATGAGTATCTACTGATTTCAATTTCTTCCTACATGTGCCAACTTCACTTTTCTCCCTTCTCCTATTACATCTGTTTCAAACTTCGCGCTTTCAACACTCGCATATCGATAACCCTAAATATCGCTTGAACCAAACACCTATTCCTGCGACAACGTAACAATATAATACGGTCTGCTTGTGAGAAGGTTGAAATTCAAAGCAATTGATGAAATGAAATTAATGAAAAAGTATATAAATATAATATACAAGAAACAGAAGTAAGAATTGAAATCAGTGATACGACCAGATACAACGTGCTCGCAAGTGTTGCGGTCCCCGCTCATGTCACGTAGCGGTGTATGTCATAAGCTTTACAGGCGCGAAGTTTGAATCGAATAACACATGTAATAGGAAAGGAGGGTAAAGGTGAAGTTGACACTGATTTGAAGAAGTGTGAAATCTGTTAGAGATCCTT